TTTGGCTTCTGAAGCAACACAGTTAGACATTTCTTGGATTTTGTCTAGACTGGGTAGAGCAACCATTCTGGGGGAACCGTACTTTGCTTCATCCCTAATACACTCCCCAACATTATTTTAGAGTTTTCATATCTTGTTCCTGATGGATAAATCACTGTTCAAGTGAGAGGAAAGGGAGAGGAAAGAGTTAGATAATATTAGGATCAGACAAGTAACTGACGAACGTATTTGACTTTTTGTGTGGTGAATAATATGTTATTTCATATTTGCAGCTTGTGCTTAGAAATTAGCATCCGTAACCTTCCTCGGCATAGCATGGTTAACACTCTACATCACACTAAAAACAATACAAAGGCCCACAAAAGAATTTGGCCTCTTGAGGAGGCATGTTATTGCCTCATTCTTTTTCCATGCATTTTACTCTCCCGCCCAATTCCTTCCCTGCCTTAGGTCCATTGCTAGTTTATTTGAGTCATGGTTCAAAAGGGCAGGCCTGGAATGCCTGCTTACAATCGTGAATAATAAAAACGGGAAGCCACCAATAGGTTCGAGTGCAGCCATGCATTTTCTGACATCTACATGACAAACATTTATAGAGAGGGAACCGTTGGGGCTGGCTGGGTAGGCACAGAATGGGACCAGCAAGCCTATGGAATGAATGTTGCCAGTGTTTGCTGCCCTTTACGTCGTCTCTTTCTAAAAAGAAAGCGATTAAAGTCATTTTAAAAAGTGGTGTTCAAGTTGGGTCTAAAGAGCAGAGTACTCCAACGACCCCAACATTGGCCCAAAGGATCCATGGAATTATCCAATGGCTTGATGCTATGGGTTGCTCGCACAGCTAGTCAGCTGTTTAAATTAGATTTGGTATTTATATGTACACTGAGAGCTTATGCACCGGAGACAAATTCCTTGTGCGTCTAATCCACTTGGCCAATAAAGAATTCTATTCTGTTCTATTCTATCCACCTACTGAGTTCTTCCCAAGGACCAGGAATAAGCAGATGTTGTAATGCCACCAGCCATAAAAAAAGCAGCTGGAGCATCACTTGAACACCCTTGGCATTGACAAAATCATCACTAGTCCATTGCAAAAGGCAATTTTACTTGGAACAACTTACATCCTCTGATAATACCTTTAATGTTATTAAATAATAACATCTGCCTGTCCCAGATTCTTGGAAGGAATGTGGACAAAAAATGCCAAATCCAGTTTAAGCAAGTAGTTGACTGTATGACCAATCATCGTCATCCTCATCATCAGTCCTTGATGATTGGAGGTTAATACTGACCGCTTTGGAGAGCCCTGTTTTAGACCGAGTTGAAAACGTTTAAAAAATGACTTTAGCAAACATTTTAGTGCTCTGGGAATGGTAAAAGGGACAATAGAGTGTTCTTGGTTTAAAAAAAAACACATATTATTATCTCCATTTTTGGATCTACCAGCATAATTTCTTCTATAAAGTCACAGAAGCACTGCTTGGTATTATATAATAACATTGCCTGAATCACGTGCTTCTATGTATTATTGTGTATCTTCTTTTCATGATCTTGATGTGACACCATTCAGATGAAAATTCATGATCTATATTTGGGTCATTGCATTGAAGAAATATTTAAAAATGTTTTCAAAGTTAAATGTATGGTCATGTTCGAGGTGTATTGTATCATCTCCCCTCTCATTTAAAAATCACCCACATATACACATATTGTACAGTTGAAATAATGTATGAGTTGCTATTTTCTTGTTACTTCAAAGGTATATTGGGAACATAATAGGAACATAAAAACTGCTTTGTCACAATTCACTAAACTAGTCCATTCCTTTTGTAAATCATTAATGATGCTGACGATCTGGGAAATTTACTTTGGCTGTAAATCTATAAATGGCATGAAAAGTTGTGTAGAATGATTTCTATATCTGACTTTCAAATAAGAATGTTTGGACTGAATGGAAGGTAGAGGGAAGAGATAAATTAAGAATTGTGAAAAGGGCTTGACTATGTAAAAGGTGAAAAGAATAAACTGTAAAAATCAGTTGGAAAATTTGACATTAGATTTAGAACTTCCTTCTTCTTCCTCTTCTTCTTTTTTTTTAGGATGGTTGTTTTATCAATTATTATTTTTTATTCTTATAGGGCTGTGGACATGGATCATCTTTGTTTTGAGACGGTTGTTGATTTCTGATGTTTACAGTTTTATTTTAAACTGTAAACATGAGATATCGCTGTGAGATAAACGATTTTCAAATATGATAAATATATGATAAATTTGTTTCTGCTGTAAATGAATTTATAAATGCAATAAATAATTAAGTAATGGCTTAGTCACTCCATTATCATAATATATTCTTTGCATTCAGATATGTTCTATTTGTCTAGGTAAAGAGGCTTATTATTTAGCATATGATGAGAAGATAATAAAAATAAACATATATACACAGTCCCCGTAATTCTAAGCAAAACATCTATGGGAGTATGGCAGTGGCATCATAACTGAATGTCCAATTCAACAACCCAGATTCTTAAATACGCCTCTGGTATTGCTTCATACAGAACTTCTAGAGAACCAGAGAACGCACATCATGGGCAATCTTCCACAGTATGTTTAAGAGTTTGCATATCAGCACCACAATCATAAGGGGAATCTTTCCATCCCCACTGATACAGGGCAGAGGCACTTCTTCCAGTATCACACCTAATTCTGTTCAATTTTGACCAGAAAAAGTAAAGCAGGTCAAAACCAGGTAATTTAGTAGAAGGATCACTAATGGTCAGGCCACAAGAAGGTACTTTGGACCAGGGATCTCCAACCTTGACAACTTTAAGACTTGTGGACTTCAGTTCCCAGAATTCCTCAGCCAGTGAAGCTCCACAAGTCTTAAAGTTGCCAAGGTTGGAGACTCCTGCTTTGGACCATTCTTCTCTCCAGGCATTCTTGGAGTTAAACTGGTTAGATGTTAAGTGAATAGCTATTTTCCAAGCTGGCGTATGGGATTTCAATCTTGTGATGGATGGGCTGTTCATTGTTCTGATGAACAGAGAGAGTCTTGTTGTTCAGCTTCCTTGACCATAGCTGAATTAAAATTTGTTGTCTTCTAATGTGGGGTCGGTATGATATTACTAAGTACTGGTAACCAGTGCACAGGAGTGGGATGCAATGTGCCAGAGATGGTACGAATAGTCTGTTGGAGTTGGACATCAACCATTTGAGTGTGAGTGCAATTCAGCCACCTGAACGATGTTCAATTGTGGAATAAACCAAAGCCAAGGCTGCTGTTTGTAGGGTGTTAGCATCAGCACCCCGAACTGTCCCAGCCAGCCTGTTCAGTAAATTGTTGCGGTTTTTCAATTTTGCAGCTGTTTTTTTCCAGGTGTTGCTGGAAGGTTAGTGATCTGTCCAGTGTTACCCTCAGAGTTATTATTACAATGTAAAATATGGTTCAGCAACTCCACTGAAGGCCAGTAATTTGTATATCGATTGTTGAGCTGGAATGTGGCTATTTCTGTATTTTTTAGGCTCGGTTAGCAGTGCTATTTTTTGAAATAATCATCCAGCTTTTGGAAATCTTGAGCGAGGATGTCCTCTGCATCACTGAAGTTGGTTCTTTAGACTGTGAGATTGATATCATCAGCATAAATACATCTCCGAGAACATTTCAGGCAGGTAATGGAAATAAAGTTTAAAAAAAGCAGGGGATAGCACCAATCCTTATGATAATCCATTATTCAAGTTACAGTATCTGCTTCTATTGAATTCGGTGAAAACTTGAAATATGCTGTTACTCAACATGTTGTCAATGAAGGCAATGATGTTATGACAAGGTATAACCTTGATTAGTTTGAGAAATCCTTCTTCTCCAGACAGCATCATGGTATCCCTTAATTTTTTAAGCACTGTGGCCAGTCTATTTCAATGTTTACAAAGATCAGTTAAAATGTGGTTATGTTGACAGAGATAAGGAAACATTAAGGATTGAGTTTTGTTACTATTTTAAAAGGGAAGATTATTTAGACTGTGTCTAACTGTGATCCTGAAGACAGTACAAGGATAAGATCCTCAGGAAAGCATCTATTTGGTAGGTTTTCTTCATCCTTTCCCAAACATACCATTCTTGGTAATAAGGAGGCTTACCTCTAAGTAGAGAGGCCCAAGATATAGGAAAGCCAAGAACATCTCCAGGCATGGGTTCAGATCCACATGAGAAATCAATGAGTGTCTCATGAGGTGTTTTCTGTCATGCTTTGTCCTGTTATGATAAGGAAGCTTTCTACATTCTAGGAAGTTATGTCTCAAGCAAATATTTTTTTAGCATATTAGTTATTGTTTAAAACATGAGTTTAGAAAGAAATTCTAATAGTCCAATATTTTATTCTCTCATGAAGTTCATGCCCCCCTCTCATATAATAATCACCTGTAGCATTAAATTAAACTCATATGCATGTATGTTTATGTGCAGAAAAACTGAACGCTGCAACATACCATTGTACTTTCTGAACATAGTTTTCTAAACTGCAAATTACTTTAAAAGGTATTCCTTTTTTCCACTTTTGAGTTCTTCCCTCTTCATTTGAATTTCATGGTTATTGTTGGACGATCCTAATGCTTTCCCCAAACACTTTGAATATGTACCACATACAGCAATAGAAGAAAATATTTGTAGCTCAGGGTTAAAACTGTGGATCCTTGTGCTCTATGAGCTTGGTTGCTTTCTTATAGTTGCTTTCTCTTCATTGCCCAATTAGATTACATTATCAGTGCTAGAAGGGAACAAAGCGCAAACCCCACTAACACTGATGGGTATAATGAAACATCCGCAAGAAAACAATCAAGCCCAGAGAACACCAAGGTATCACATCTTTTCCTTTCTTTCTGTTTTCCTTTATCTTTCTTTAATTATATAAATGAGCTAAGCCATGATCAATCCCTGTAATGAAATATGATGGTCAGGCAAACTTTATTTTTAAACCAGATCTTGAAATAAGGCTTTGGAGTCTGATTGGTGTGTTACACATTTTCAGTTTTATTTTATTGTGTTTATTATGTGCACAAACCCTTCATTTCACCTTCCATATTAAAAAAAAGACTTCATGAAACAAGGCAAAAAATAACTTACCATTATATGAAAATTAATTGTAACCAATCACAAAACATACATATTAATAGAAAAAGTCACACTATTTTTTTTAGGGAATATGATATAAAATGAATAAATGCCAACTATAGCAAAATCAGCCAGATGTACAACATGGTATAAGAAATTCAACTCTCTATAAAGGAGCGTATAAAAATATGTACAAAAGTTCTAAGATTGATAGAAAACACATTCGCATATACCGTACCTTCTTCTCTTCCCAAAGTGCTTTGCATTAACAACATTATACAAGACACTCTACTTTGTGTTCAAAAACCTGTTAACTTTAAAACTCATTTCTTTGATTTTATCTGTATTTTTAAAATACACATAAAAAGTGCTGGTTTTACAAATTACAAAAAAAAGCAAGTTGCTTTGAAATGGCACAGTCAAAACATGGGCAATAAACACAATGACTTTTTTTAAAAAAAGTTTTGTAATAATAATATTCAACAGTACTAAAAAGGTGACATTTATATTAACTCCAGTGTATAGTTTTCCCTACCATGGATATAAATGCTTTTGAACAACAGATGGGCAGTCCCATCATGATTTAGCCCAGCCAGCCTGGAAAAGAAAGTTTGTTTATTTTCAAGCTTCCAAAGAATCATTAATTTCTTGCAAGAGTTTAGAGCAGTGGTCCTCAACCTTTTTGACCCCAGGAACCGGTTCTGTGGAAAACAAACTTTCCATGGACTGGGAGGGAGGAGGATGGTTTCATGCACTACCTAGATCCCGCACATGTGCAGATGCATGAACCGGTTCCTAATGGGCCACATACCAGTACTGGTCCACGGCCCGGAGGCTGGAGACCCCTGGTTTAGAGGATAGTGGAAAGGATGTTCACTCCTTTCACTCCTACAGTGGTTTTCTTCACATTGTTTAGCTATGAATGGCTGTGCAGAAAGCAGGTACCTCGGTGCTGTGCGTATGGACATTCTGGTTCCTATACAGATTAAAGTCCATGAAGATGCAATGGGAGTTAGTAGGTTGGTTGCGCAACATAGCAGTCTATTTCTGTAAACTACCTATATTAATATAGTGATGCTTATTGGTTGCATCTTCACACAAAAAAAGTTTATATCAAACTCCTTTATACAGGTAAGAATAGTCAACTTTCCCAAATTTAAGAGATGCAAAATATTTGTATTATAACATGACCCTGTTTTGTTTGGTGCTGTTCACCACATAAGGAAGGGCCCCTGTTTTGTCATCAGATTTAGTCTTCCTATGTATTTCGTGATAGTGCTAATGAAATATGAAGAAGATATGTTAATTTGATTCAGGGAAGGCATGGGGTGTTTAGTGAAAATGAGCCACTCTTTGTAAGCATGGCAGTTTCCATAGCACATTTAACTTTTTACCAGAAGAACATTTGCACTAATTTGTTCTAATGAATCTCAAGAAATTTAAGTCAAATTCTTGTAAAATTGACAAGGTTTCATTTGGGTGGCCACAAGTAGGATTTCCTTTAACCTTGAATTCTGAGATGTGATGTTTGTTCACACATGTCAGAATTCAAGGTTAGAGGAAATTCTATCTGTGGCCACCCAAATGAAGCCTTGCAAAGGTTCCTGGATGGGATCAGATTGCTTGGAGGTGGGAGGGGATCGGACCTTTTTGGATGGGATTTTTGGGTTTGCTGCTTTCAGTGCCAACGAAAAATGGTTGAGCAAGGGAGGAAGGTGGATAGAAACGGGGGAATAGGCTTATTACTAAAACCTGAACTTCCATGTATCCCTGTTCTCCATTTTTCTGGGGGGGGGGGAAGAGTTCTTAAAGAATGGAAGTCCTATTTTCAGTGGCATTTAATACAAGTATAAGTATTTCTTTTCAATAAAAGCAAAAAGCTCCTTGATTTTCTTAATGATACAGCTCATATTGTTAAGCTACCAAGGATAGTCTTTGGGGACTACAGAGCATTTTTCAAAAAATAAAACCAAGAAATAATAAAATCTGAGAATGACATCTTCATTTTTAATTTTTAAGACTTAATCTAAAGATTAATCTATGCAGTCTAATGTTATCTATCTATCTATCTATCTATCTATCTATCTATCTATCTATCTATCTATCTATCCCTACCTACCTACCTACCTATCTACCTCAGGGGTGTCAAACTCAAGGCCACGGGTTGGGTCTGGCCTGTGGGGTACTTAGATCTGGCCCACAGGGCTGCCCTGGAGACAGTGAAGGACTGGCCCACAGTGCCTCTGCCAGTGAAAACAGAGCTCAGGAGGGCCACAGAGCTCCGTTTTTGCTGGCAGAGGGTTGCAGGAGGCTGTTGCAGCCAGAAACGGAGCTCGGGAGACTGTTTTCGCTGGCAGAGTGCTCAGACCACCTCAGGGGCCTCCAACATGAGTGACGTTGAGCTGGCCATGCTCACCCTGGCCATGCCCCCCCACCCCCCCGAGGTCAAACACGATCAGGGGTGTCAATCAAGTTTGATACCCCTGATCTATCTTATCTATCTATCATCATCTTATTCTCCCCATATGTGAGCTGCTGCAAGGATCTACAGGCACTTTCTCATGAAAAATGGCTACGGATAAATGGGATTATGTAGGAAATGGGAGAAGAGAGCCTGAACTCTATCCTCCAAATAGAGGGCTTTGGCACTGTTAAATGCATGCTTTTATAGAAATGATCCAGCCTCTTCATCACTAGATACAAAATCTGCAGAGGAATGCAATAAAGTGCAATCAAGATCTGATTCAGCAAGGGCATCCCCACACAGATTTCTTTTGCTGGAATAGAATACACATACTAATAGTGGATATTTTAAAATGTGGCTACACTGTATCTATAATTTCACAAAGCACCTTAATAAATGTAAATATAATTTAGTATCAGGATGTTGGAAGCTTGAATGATGATTTTAGAAACTTTCTACTTATTCTTACTATAGTTTATATACAACAATTCCTTTGGCTGACATCTTCACAGATTGTTTTTTCTTTAGCAATAACAGGTCATTATCGAAGACGATGCACAGTGAGAAATTTTTCAAATGAGTTGGCCACAATGACTAAACAAGCCACAAGTAAACAATGAACAAAGAAGGCTGCTGTTTGAATTATATGTCTCTGTATCTATGACAAAGACCATACCTTGAAAGGCAAATCCACATTTTACTTTCCAAACATATTTATAACCATTCAGAAACAACACAAAAGCCTTTGCAATGGAGTTAATACCTGATGTGCTAACTGTTTTTACCAAAAAGAGGACAGAAAGTACCATAGGGAAAAAAAACCCTTCAGATTTATATACTAGCATACAGTATGTGCAATATTAATGTGGGAAAAATAAACTTTTAAAATACATGATGAATAAAGTACAAAATATGTTTCACAGATGTACAAAATTTCTGAATGTAACTATATGTGACCTCAAAGATCTGAAATGACATGCTAGGCTGATATGTTTTTGATCAGAACTTCAAATTTGGGAGAAGATATTTAATTCTTTTCTTCTTCTTCAGTGGAAATCCTCAGTTTCCTCCCAATTTCTGTTCCTGTATTTGGTTCTCCACTTGAGTGGTACAATTAGGATAGTAGATAGGAAAGATAAACTCAGTTTCAGTGGGAGGACTGATAGAGAGGGGAGAACTGGCTTTCCTCTCCCTGCAACACAGTACTAATTCAGATCACTGCTCTTATCTTTCTTACATGCATATCAAACATTATAAAAGTTATCAAAATGGCATTAATTATTTGCTAGCATTAATGGAGAATCTCTATTCTAAATTTGTATATCTGCGTTTTAAAATTTTCTATGGAGAATTCATCACATAAAACATAAACATTAAATTATAATGCATAAATCCAGTAAAATAAATTCTCTTCAGGTGAACATGGCAAAAAAAAAATCACCAGCACACCTCTTTAAGCTAACAATTAATACTGGATGCTGAAAAGAAGCTCAAATTGTACTATTGTCACCAACATCATATCATCAAAAAATACATTCCCTTTTCACCCTCCATCCTGTGAGATTACGTGCTTAGATTTCAAAGCACTGCAAGACAGGTTCTTCATTTTAGAAATCTGCTTTTGTGAGAAGTTTATTGTTGTTGACCATTATTAGAATTCCTCCAAGAGTTTTAAAAATTCCAACAATTCATTGAAAAATATACTAAGCAGTGCAGTAATTATTCTCTTATGGAAACGGTTATGCAACAGAAAAGGCCAAATTAAAACAATTGCTCACATTTGGCAAATACATGTCACCCAACATCTTGCAACACCTTATATCAGCTGTAGCTGTGAAGTTGGGATCTTTCTGGTGATATTTTCTTTATTTCTTGAGTAAGTAGTTTCAGAGACCAACAGAAGATGATCTATAATAGGCTGAATGGTTGAGATGATATGCAGAGCTGTAGTCTGTGCTTCCTCAGCCTTCCATATAAAGTGAAGACAGTTGACTAGGACAACGATCCACAGCATTTATATGGAGGAAACTTGCATCTTCCATCCCACTGCGCAATGAATCACCAAAGGCCATTGGAAAATCATAAACTGGAGAAAAATGAAGATATTTAGACATTAGTCAAACTTAACTTGAAAAACTCAGGGATTTTATACAGAAAAAAGTGGCAGCAAGCAATTGTTGGATTTCTTAGGCATATTTGGATATCTAATGTGTGTTAGAATGTTAAGAGAAGAAATACTGTGTCAGAACTGAGAATGCTGAAGGAGGAAAAGTGTTTTACCAGCAATTTGAAACGGGGATACGACAGGGGATCGAGGAACAAGATGAAGCCTCTGCTTTCTGTTTCTCTGCTCTAACTTCAACTGATATTTACTTTTTTCTGTACCTGCTCCTTCTCTGTTTAGCAAATTGGAGATATATTGTTAACTGTTAAAATTTCCCATTATTAACAGATAAAAAATGACAAGTAACAGTGACAGAGAGTGACTCTAGAATACTCTGCCCTGAACTGAATATGTGATCTTAGGAAAGCTACTCTCTGTCAGCCTCAATTAAGTGATAAAGCATCTATAGTAGTGATAAAACCAATTTATCTTACAAGAATATAAGAAATAAGAATACGACATAAAAATAAACATTAGAAATATTAAATGTAAATATAGACTCAAGGTACTTAGTAGAATTTATCAAGTATCTTTTTCTATTGGTGTTCATAAATACCTCTACTACTTGATGTTTGATAGTGACTGAGTCAATTCATAAAGATTATGCATCTTAAAATATGGAGGCTGTCTTCAACCAATTTGCGTACCAAAAGAGACATATTAGAGTTAAAATAGATTTTTTTTAAAAAAAAAATCGTTATATAAGGTGAGATGTGGATATAGACATTGAAGAACGTAATATACCGATGTACGATCTTAAGAAATAAGTCATCACGTTTAAATGTTATATATGTTGTGTATTGTTTTATTTGTATTTTTTTTCTCTGTGTGTATGTTTTTAAAATTAATAAAAATTAAAAAAAAAGAAAAAAGAAAAAAGAAGAAAAAAGTAATAATAATTCCTTTCTATCCATCATCTCTTGTCCGTTTTAATACTTCAATTCTTATTTGTTTTTTGGCTTTGTCTTTGATCTTTGTCTCTATCAGCATCTGTGTCTTCACCATTCAGTCTGAATATTTCTCCCATCTCTATCCTCCTAAGCTGCCAGGTCTCCAGAGTGTCCACCTAAACCCCTATCTCCCTTTCAAAAATATCTTCCAGGTTATCCAATTCCATTTTTAAGTCTCTTGAAGTACTTTCCCTTGGTTTGTTTCATCAGTCATTATTATCTTTATCATCTTCTCCTTCTCATCTTCTTGCTTTGTTTGCTGGTTTGTCTGTTCTATCTTTTCCTCCATTCTTTCTGCTGTCTCCTCTCTTTCCTGGGCTCTTTGATCTTCATTCATTATCACCTGTAGCATATTTTCTATTTTCCCATTTAAGTCTTGCATTAGGTTCTTTATCTCTCTATGGTTCTTTGTCATAGTATCCCTGATGCTTTGAAACATCATTTCTTATGAATTCTCACTCATTTCCCGCTGATGGAGCAGGTCCTCCAGATGAATGTTGCTTATTTCTCTTATCAAGAATTTTCCCAGTCTTGTAGGGGTATGGTATATTTTCCATTCACCAGTAGATGGCTCCCTCACCTCAAGTTTCAGCGTTGTTTCAAGTCTGATAAATTGATTAATCCAGATTTAGTTCAATTTATGGAAGTAAAGTCAACTATTCAAGTAGATTCAAGTAGATAGTTCCAGCATTTTATAATGCCTTTCTAAAACAATGCCTATCCAGTTTGAAAATCCGATTTTCTATGTTTTAAAAGGTCTTTAGCTTTTCTCCCCTTAGTTCTTTTCTTTCGGATCTAGGATTTTTCTCTCTATGGTTGTTCGCTGCTTTAAGAAATAGTTCTAAGAGTCTCTTTTCCTGGATTTTCCTCTTTTTTCCCTTTTAAAGTTAGGGTCCAAATAAAAAAGGAATCTTCTCAACCAGCTCCAGTCACTGTTCATCTATACTGCTCCTGCACATTTCTTTGTTGCCTCAGCTGTCCCAGCTTCGTGGCAATCATGATGGCTGCCACTTCTCCTTGTCATGGATGAGAGGGAAGAAGCCCTGGGTCAAGCAGGAGAGTTGCTGCAGGGCACCCTTCTTTTCTTCACCACCCCTACAGGGTGGCTTTAGCTCCTTTCAGAGCACTCCAACGGGGAGAACTCGGTGCGGGAACTTGGAGACACTCTCCTCATGTCCAATCTTGCCATGATGTCAGCCGGAAGTCCTCAAATAGAAATTTTCACCTAGCCTCTCATTTATTTATTTTCCATCTTAGTATTTATAGTTAACACAGGAACCTGGTTTAAAGTCTATAAGGCTTCAAGCATCTTGAGGGTCACTTTGCTAGTTATAAAGTTCTATAGAGTGATATCAAATTATCATAGCAAATTATATAATGTTCATAATTTATAATATATACTATGATCTATTCAGTGTAAGAAATTGTTTCCATTTAAGATATAAATGATAAGATATAAATATGGAAATAAAGCAATATTCTACAAATTAGAATAATGTGAGAAGAGATTTTGTTCTCAACTAAAACTGAACCACACTTCCATTGATGATGGTTCTGGAGCTGCGTAGTTGTATATCTTGTTACGACCTGAGTTTCAAATTGGAAAAAAAGTCAATTTGTAATTTGATCACACTTGTCTCCCAGAATTGTTTATGAAACCACTAATGTATAAGAGAATATGTACTTATTTTAAATAATAGTATCACAATATTATAATTGTCATACCTGTAATACCAGAATGTGCTGAAAATGCTTTATGGAAAACATCAAAACCTGACTGACCCATAGATGTCGGTACCAAACAATCTTCAAAAGGAGGGACCATGTTACAAGCTCCAATGTGTTGTATATTTCTCTGATTGTCAGTATAATGAGGGGAGCAGAAAGTCTGTAGTTGCCCATAAACACCTAAAAAGAAGATAACAAGGTTGCCTAAATAATGCATTTCTATTCAAACCAATTTATTCATTTGACTTTACATTTTCAAGCACACTATTCCCTGCTACTTGTAAATATTTGCTAGGGCCTAATTCATGTGCCATCATAGCAATTAATTATCTTGCGATTTTCATGAGAATTGTACATAAAAATAACACATTAATTTTACATCTAATTTAATCTTTGAAACAATCTTTTCATTATTATCAGGTGGCTAGGGCTGAAATATGGCATGTTCGATGGAAAGCAATAGAATTTGGCTACTTCAGCACAGCTTCTTTTATGTTCTTCTAATTCCAACACTGTTCTGTGAAATGAAATAATACTAATTGTTTGCGTTCCAGTCAATTAACCAGATTTACAGGAAAAAACAAATTTAGCACAAGGTTTGCTTGTGGGCGCGCGCATGCTCGCATGTGTTTGCGATACTTCTGCGCATGTGCAGAAGCGTCCGGGTGGGTGGGCGGAGCCTCCTGCCGCCGCCATGGTTCGCCCAATCCGGGGCGAATTGGTAACAACCCACCACTGATGTGGTTGCCTTAAAATACTAAAAGTATGACTGTAATATTTATAATCTTAAATATACTTGAAAAATGGCGATTCAGAAATAATGTCTCACTAAGTATAATCACACATTCATAATTTACATGATTATTTGGGGAGCTGAAGGGATTGCTCATTTACTTATTTTTTTTTAAAAAAAAAATCTGGTAATTTTGCATAAATACATCTTACTACCAGATCATTTGGAATTCAAGAAAAGTATTGTGGAAAGGCCTAATTTGGGGATGAGTCTGGCCCATTCTCAGCTTAGCTCATGGTCAACAATCTTCAGGCACCATCATGACTCAGTTGTAAACTTGAGCAGTGTGGTTACTATTTGGTGGAACAGTCTAGTAAACTCGTATTTCCTAGATTTTTGTTTAGTAAACTTCAGATATCACGGGGAAAAATATCTGGATTTGAAGATTGCTTGGGAAAGGAGAAGAGGAGAATACACTGTTGGATGTATTACTTGGAACCCTGACAATGAGAATCATGGTGTCAGATAACACCATATAATGTATTCTAGCTGAGTGCATATACAATTTTATGGATATTCTCCAATGTTACTTGGGGATTCTGCATATCAAAGGGCAATGCTATCCACTGTCCATTCATCAATATTTTCAGTATTTATATTTGAAAGAATATACATTCTAATCAACATACTGCCTTTCTCATATAACATTATACTGGATCTAGTGGAGTTATTCTTTCATTTAACCCTTAAGGATGTTGTTAGAGAGAAGAATTGACAGGCAAGAATGGATTCACTCTATTCTTTTGTCAATAACAAAATAGTCAAGTTTGAAGGATCTTAAAACTTGTAACACTAAGCAATTTTACTTAAATTATTTCTAAGGTATCATCTGCTGCAGAGCACACTTTGGGAACATTGTACTGAAAAGTCTTGCACCGATAAAAGAACAAATGAAAACATTTAAAAATACTTGGGAACAATCAGTCCAGGTTTCCATTTACCAATATAAACTTTAGATGCCTTGCGATACAAGAATAATGTTTATATAAAGTGTACAAGCAAATATCATCCTCAGCAAGCCAGAAAAAAAAAATCCTTAAGTAAATGCCATCATGCACCGTGCCATATCAAGTGAATAAGAGCTCGGGTGAGAAATAGAGATTATACCAGCTGGGAAGTTTTTGGCCTTGCTGCTGCAATGAAAGGAAGCAGCAGAGCTTTGCAAAAGTTGATCTCTTCTCTTGACTTCTATAATTGTGAAAATGACTGCATTACTAGAGTTGCAATGTGTCCTGAACTGTTCTCACGTCAGATTCTAAAAAAACAGCCACATCCCGAGAAGGTGGAATAATTGGTTTGGTCTGTATTTCATTGCATGCTTACCTAAGTCATACTTCCCAGTCTAAAGACAAGTCAGAATTCAAGTGTAGACTGTCCTACACTTCCAGTTTATTGCAATTCGAGATGTATAAAACCACGTGTGCAGAAAAACATATTGTATAAAAACGTGTTGGGAAACATGGCTCTATCAATGAAACTTAAAATAGCATGTGCATCACAGGAAATATATAGGAAAATGTAAAAAAAAAAGGAAGCAGATTACAAATAAAGGCAGAAATAGATAGGTTAATTTAAGACCCAGAAATTGAGAATCTCATCACAGTTAAACTTCTTTAAAATTCCAGTTAGATCTCACCAATGAGTAGGACAGCTGACAATAAATCATAAAAAGACATCTAGAAACGCATTTGCAACCCTTGCAGGGGGGGCATCTCTCATGGGCATACCAAGGCAAACCCATCATTGCCCAAGCTGTGTTCTGGACCAACTGAAGCTTCTGAATGGTTCTCATGGACAGCTTCATGTGCAGCACATTGTAGCAGTTGAGCGTTGAGGAGACTGGAGCATAAGGACCTGCTGCTGCAGGAAGGGGCGCATCAGATAAGAGGTGCGTAAAGTCCCCCTTGGCTACAACTGGTACCTGCTCTGTCAGGAGTTGCGAGTCCAAGAGGACCCTCAGATTCCTCACCACTCTTAAATGGGGAAGTGCTGTACAAGAATATAGATGGGAAATCCTCAGTTCCAGGAGACCCTGGTTTCCACAAATAGGATTGAGTCAGATTTAGTTCCTCCCCATCTAGGCTCCACATAGCTTTGGGAAAAGACCTCAACAGGCTCATTTGGCAGAGATTCAAATTCAGAGTTTAATAATCTTCCTGATTTTGGGGTCATTGTTTAAGCTGCAGTTGGCTTCCACAACTTTGACCAAAATATAATCTCCCTGAGAAACATTTTTCATGTTTTGTACTAAGGTCATTTCCTCCACAGTGATATACCAGGTTCTAGCATTACATAGCCATTAATGCCTCTTATATTGGTACAATATTATCTTGACCTTAGATGCATATTTTGATATGGAAATCAAACTCTCAAAATGTTGGCAACAATATGGAATATACATTTAACAAATACCTAACCTATCCTTCCATTTGTTTGATTACAATTGTATCGTTTTGCACATATACAAGTAGTACATCTCAGTATCTAGCAATAGGCACATTAATGAGAGAGAGAGAGAGGGAGGGAGGGAGGGAGAGAGAGAGAGAACCCAACAAGGTACAAAAGCATACATATTATTTTTATTTTTTTTATTATCTAATCCCCATATTTTGGATAACGATATATTCTTTTTTAAAATCTGGGATATTGTCTCTCTCTGTGTGTTATGCATTATGATGACTAAAATATTCTGTTTTAAATACTTTAAAGTTTATTTAGCTTTTTTTTTTTTTTTTCAAAAGCTGTAGAATATTGAGCAATTGGATACAGGATTATTTACCATTATTGCCTAAATAGTTTACTTCTTCAGAAATTAGGTATCATTAAGGAAAGTTATTAGTTGGAATTAGGAGTCTTCTATGCTAAGAAAAATGTTGACCTAACAAAAGCAGAGCAACCAAACAATGAAGCAGCCTAATATTTCTGGGAGAGTACAACTCGAATCTGAGGAATATAATTTTAGTATTTATTATATTATTCTAGCAAACCTGTGTTAAACAAGGTGGGGAATTCATGAAAAGTATGGCTTCTGGAATTCATTTCGGCCCCTTTACCAACCATACCAATGCAAGGAATCCGTAATTTCTTCTGTGGAACTAAATAACGTGTTTTGTCTGTACGTGCGTCTGCATAATGTGCACACTGGGAAGCCCAGGACAGGCTGCCTGTGACCCACAGAAGAGCTGCTATTAAGAGGTCCTCTTCTGTTCCGCTTTGGAGCGTTATGCTGCTGACAGACAGATGGAGTCCTGACCCTCTTTACATAATTTTCATACATTTCTTTGGGTTGGAAAGAATAAAAAGCATATTAACCTTTTTCTTGCTTCAATTATCCTACATACACACTTCTAATAATAAAATAATTGCATTCAAATGTCAGTCGCTGCAATTGGTGTCTGATTTCATAAAAGAGATTTCACAGAGGATAGAAAAACAAAGACATTCAAGGGATATGCAAGAGAACTGTAATTTTGGATTTGTTCAGGAAGAAGAAATGCACCCTTGATTTAAGCTGATCATTTTGTAGTGATTAGCCACAAAAGGATATTTCTTCACTGTCTAGATGGAAGTTTACTATAGGTGAAATCTACCTTAGAAGTAGAGGACACCCCCCCTTTTTTGGGGGGTGGGGGGAGATTGGAGATAGAGAAAACAATTTGGCAATTTGAAAGAAAGAAGTCTGAGAAGACAAAAGTCCAGCTAATTCTGGAAATAAGGGTAGAAAATGAATTGCAGTTTTAAGAAACACAAATTCTCACTCACTCGTACATATACATACACAGAGAGACAGAGAAATTCAGCAAGACCAGCAAAATCAGAATAGAACAGCAAGATTCTTTGTCCTTTTTAGGCCACAAAGCTTTGTGTAGTAGAAAATAATCCAGTTTGTTTGGAAAAGTTATTGGGGAAATTCTAACGACTGACTCCAGATACATTTGCATTTCCTTCTGAAACTCTCAGGTGAAAGGAAAAACAGAATATATTCATCTCCAATACACTGTAGTCTTGGAGCAATATCAAAGGTGGATTTAATGAAGGAAGTTTTCCCTTGAAAACTTAAATATGTTGACGATTTTCATTCCCTCTAAACCCTCTCCTTCTGTGGGACTAACTTCAGGAACTAGCCCAATGAACTATTTTTTTCTAGAAAATTCCTTTCGTAGAAAACTTCATCATTATTGCTTTTACCTAGGGACATTCCAAGGGAATTCCCAGGATCTGAACTGGCAATGGCTTATGCTTGACACAACAAAACCAACCTGTGATACAAATAGGCTTTTTTTTTTTTAGTGAGTGAAATAAATTGATTATCTCCCAACACATGTGTGTTTCAGAAGACTATAATATTCCATGACATTAAGTAAAGTTGGTTTTACTCAGTCTGATTACCATTTGTAAACAATGAGCTGCTTCCTTTCTTCACCCAGAGAATGGAATTGCATTAGCTTGCCATGCCACCTATCAGATTGTGTACGATAAAATCAAATCTGAACTGGAGAATGCCTTCAGGTTTCATTCAAGTTGGGTAACTATTTATGCTCCATTTCAGAAAAACGGTGTCCCTTATCTAGACACTTCAATGTGTACTGCTTCAACATTCAGTCCACATTCAACACGTAGAGCACTCTTCCTCCCCACGCTGCACAAACATGCATTCTTTGTATAATTTTAGTGAAACACCTGTGTAAATGTAAAGACTAGCCTGATCTCACTGTGACTAAATCAGTGTTTCAAGTACTTCTTAAGACTATTTCCCACACATCCTGATTAAAGATTAGAAATGAAGATTGACCTCATTCAGTGAATAATATGTTCAGGGCTTAAGTCCTTTTCTCTTCCAGAGAAGGCAAGGGGAGATGTTTCATCTGTTCTTTGCTGTCACTTGGAAGAAATTTCTTGGAGTGTGAACACATAATCACAGGGAAGATGCCATCAGAGCTACCAGAGAGTGGCAGCTCCCCACAATCATGTGATCAAAATTCAGGCTTTGGCATCTGGCTTGTATTTACAATGGTCACAGTGTCCCAGGGCCACATTGCCATTTGTGACCTTCTCAGCTGGTTGCTAATAGGCAAACTCAATGGGGATTGCATGATTCACATAACAACTGCAGCGATTTGCTTAAAAAAACCATAGCCAGAAAGGTTGTAAAATCGGCCAAGACTCCCTTAACAACTGCTTTGCTTAGCAAAGGAAATTCTGATCTCAACGGCGGTCATAATTTGAGGACTGCCTGTACTCCAAAAGAAGACAAACTCAGCCTAGAAGAAAAGGGAAGAGAAAGGCTGATCCCACCTTCTCCCTCCAAAGGAAAAGTCCATTCTTCAAAAAAGTTTAATGTTTCCAACCTTTCCAAAACAAAATGCCCAGGGGGAAAAAAAATGAAATCTTCCATAAGTTATTTGTTTTTTTTACCTTCGCTTAATTTTGTTGGTTGGGGTTTTTGGGTTTTTTTGTATTGGTTGCAATGCAAATCTACATCTGGAGCATTCAGAGACCCACAGCGATTCCTTTGACATCTTATACTTTGTGGCACTGCAGGGAAGGAACTGCTTTTTATTTTATCTCCTCACTAGGAATAACAGAAGGTATTAAGGTAGCTTTCTGTCTTACCTTGGATTTGGATGCTGTTTGGCTGGAAAGAAGGATTGCTCAGTGAACCATTCGTCTTCAAATGCACTTCGCCAAATTGCTGGGTGGCTGAAGGCTGTGATGTTCTTTTCTGCATGAAAGGAGGGGGAGGAAGAATTCTCCCAGGGCTTATACAATAAGGGAAAATAAATAAATAAAAAGAAGAAACAGAAGCTGAAGACCTGAGATATTAAAACAGAATACACTACAAACAATAGTTAGATGTCTTGCTCAAATGTAATATTTATTTAAAGTATTTAATATATTCTCCCAGGGTCATAGTGTGGAAAAATATTATTTTTTAAAAAGTGCTAAGTTCTTAAATATTAGTATACAGTACCTCAGAGAAAGGAAACGAAGACCTTTCATTCTATTTAAGAAAGGAAATCGCATTTTACAAGGTGTGTGTTTAAAATGGTTGGATAGCTACCTTCTCCTCCAAATATCACATAGTGGAATTGATTGGCCCCATGGGAAAATGCTGAGAAGGAAGAGAAAGTCACAACATTTTCGGTAGAGTAGAGCACAAGTAGAAATGGAAGCAGTGAAGCTTTCCCTATAAACCAATGTTGGTTTTGCAAACATGGCCGAGAAGAGCAAAATTCTCAGGAAAAACTCATATATTTCTACACTACTAGGAATAGAGAAATATCATGTCCTTGGTTTTGATTTTCACCTAGTTTTAGAATATACATTTTGCTTTCCAGTGCTTTGAACAAAAAGCTAAGGTCTCAATTAGCTTGTACAAATACACAACCATACATCCACTTTAGCTGCATTCATACAATCATTTATTAGCTTTGAGGGATCACGATACTGCAGATAGATTGCTTTCTTTTCTAAACTTCTAGAACGTCTTTTTAGTCTAATAGCTGAACATTTTCTTTTAAGTTGTTTTCTTTTTCTTTGCAAAATTTACCTGTGTTCATGAAGAATAGCTGTAACTGTCACCCAGTAACAGACAAAACAAAATCTTCTAGAAACTATTGTGCAGTTAGATCTTTTAATCTAAGAAAGCCTTCCAACTGATTGTAGCGCATTTTGTACTGCCAGACAGGTCTCCTTTCTTACAGACTTTACTAGATTTTTTAATGATTTCTGAATTGCTTCATGAATTCCTGGGTTACTCCAGTTGGTGACTATAGCATTTACTTATATTGTCTTTCACAAAAGAGATACTTGGCCTTATTTCAACCAAGATCTCTGCCTAAATAAATCACAGAGCTACTGAGGGAACAGCAAATTAAATTTTGCCTATACAACAATCAATACCAGCCTGTAACCGCTAGGAAATTGCCATCTGAAATTGTGTCTATGCCCTGCAGTATAGTATATTTTAAAGTACAATTTGCTGTTTTAAAAAAGCAGTTTTGACTTCAAAGGATGAGATCAACTCATATATTGTTCATTTTCTCATTGCCCACAGCCTGGTTGTGTAGCTGGCAATACCATTACTTTTTGAATTCCTTATACTTTGGTGGTATGAAATAAGCTGGTTGGATAGTCTCTAGTTAATTATTATAGGTGGATTATAGAATTGACTGAAGTTATTAGTCTATGCTATAGCTTTAAGATACCTACAAAAAGCATAAAACAACTAAATGGACGACAAGATACGCCCGAGCTTTTAACAAGATTACATCATTTACCATTTTGTTAATATTCCTGAAATTAACTCTGCCAAATCAGTCCCAACAATCTGCGTAATGCATCCCCTCCCATTTTATATAATCAAATAAAGACTTTTGCCCCTTAAAAGTTATCAAGTGTTGCAGATCTTTACTGTAATGTAGAAACAGCCAAGGAAAGCACTACTACATATTTTTAAACCTCACTTAATTGTTTTCAAGACAATAGTATCTGATTACATTATTCTGATTCTTTGAAAAAAAAGTAGAGGCAAGGTTAGTTCACATTAGCTTCTAACAGAAAACAGAATAATAAAGTTAAAAATCTTTACCAGGTTGAAAAACCTTTGTCAGAATTTTCAGAAGCACATATGTCTTTAGCACTAAGGGTATCTCTTTGTAACAAAATGATATGATTCTATAATTGTAGTATTATAGAATAATCTCTCCATTATGATGAAGTCTTGGGTTTATCAGTTTTATTATCAGTGAAGAGTAGATAATAATTGTTTTCCTTACAGCATCCATCCACTTTCCTCTCCCCCCAATTTACTCCCTAAAAATCAGAAGAACTATATTCATTCATTCAAAAGATGTCAAAAGGAGCAGGTATTTATTGCCCAAACTCAGAAATATATAAAAAAAGATCCTTTTTTATTTTGTTTGTTACCCTCAAGATGGTGCGTGTGTGTGTGTGTGTGTGTGTGTGTGTGTGTGTGTGTGTGTGTGCGCTATGGCAGAAAACTTCAGAGTTCTCCATTTTTGTTTCAACTTCTCCTATTCTTCACAATTGTTTCTCTTTTCCCAGAAGCCTTTTTGTTAAGCATTTCTGGCAACTATAGTAGCGCAAAAATGACTCTACTTTGTGTTTTCAAGGCTGAACCTTATCTTCTCTGTTTGCGTCTGATTCTGTTACAAAAGGAATTAATCTTCTGTGTGTATCCAAGTGGAACAACCATAGAATCAGGGGTGAAATGGTCCCGGTTCGGACCGGATCGCCCGATCTGCTAGCGATGGAGGCGGGTGGTTCGGAGAACTGGTAGCAAAAATCCCTGCCCCCCTCCCCATGCCCAGCTGAACCGCACAATCATCGGAGGCTTTTTTTTTTTTTACTTTTAAAAGCATTTTTTCTACAACCTCTTCGGCCGAAAAAATGCTTTTTAAAATAATAAAAAAAAAGGCTCTGATGATCGTGCGGCTCAGCTAGGATCGTTAAAGGCTTTTAAAAGAAAAAAAGCCTCTGCTGATCAGGCAACTCAGCTTAGATCGTCAGAGGCATTTAAAAGAAAAAAATACTTTTTTTTCTTTTAAATGCCTCTGACGATCCAAGCTGAGTTGCCTGATCGGCAGAGGCTTTTTTTCTTTTAAAAGCCTCTGACGATCCAAGCTGAGTTGCCTGATCGTCAGAGGCATTTAAAAGAAAAAAAGCCTCTGCCGATCAGGCAACTCAGCTGGGATCGTCAGAGCCTTTTGAAAGTATTCTTTACAACCTCTTTGCCGAAGAGGTTATAGAAAAAATGGTTTTAAAAGTTAAAAAAAAAAAATTGGCCACGCCCACCCAGTCACATTATTTTTATTTATTTATTTATTTGTTTAAATTTCTATACCGCCCTTCTCCAATGTAGGACTCAGGGCGGTGAACAGCCAAAGTAAAAACAAGACATACATACAAAACATACAAAATCTAAAATCTGTTTAAAATAATTAAATAATTTTGGCCGTAATTAAAACATTCCAATTTAAAATCCATTTAAAATTTGACTCAAGCCAGCCCAGCTAGTTGAAATAAATGGGTTTTAGGGCCCGACGAAAAATCCGGAGGTCTGTTATTGTACGTAGCTCTGGGGGGAGGTTGTTCCAGAGGGTGGGCGCCGCCACAGAGAAGGCTCTCCCCCTGGGGGTCGCCAGCCGACATTGTCTGGCGGACGGCACCCTGAGGAGGCCCACTCTGTGGGAGCGTACTGGCCGGTGGGAGGCTATTGGTGGCAGAAGGCGGTCTCGTAAGTACCCCGGCCCTAAGCCATGGAGCGCTTTAAAGGTGGTCACCAACACCTTGAAGCGCACCCGGAAGACCACCGGGAGCCAGTGCAGCTCGCGCAGGAGAGGTGTCACGTGGGAGCGCCTCGTCGCCCCCAAAATCCCCCGCGCGGCCGCGTTCTGGACCAGCTGGAGCCTCCGGGTGCACCCCAGGGGGAGCCCCATGTAGAGAGCGTTGCAGTAGTCCAGGCGGGAAGTGACGAGTGCCTGAGTGACTGTGCGTAGGGAGTCCCGATCTAAAAAGGGGCGCAACTGGCGTATCAGGCGGACCTGATAAAAAGCCCCCCTGGCCACGGCCGCCAAATGATCGTCTAACGACAGCCGTGCGTCCAGGAGGACGCCCAAGTTACGAGCCCTCTCCGTGGGGGCGAGTGATTCGCCCCCAATAGCCAGCGATGGTGTCAGCTGGCTATATCGGGACGCCGGAAGCCACAGCCACTCGGTCTTGGAGGGGTTGAGTTGGAGCCTGTTTCTCCCCATCCAGGCCCGCACGGCCTCCAGGCACTGGGACATCACTTTAAGGGCATCATTGGGGTGGCCTGGGGTGGAGATGTACAGCTGGGTGTCATCAGCGTACTGATGGAACTCCACCCCGAAGCCACGGATGATCTCACCCGCGGCTTTACATAAATGTTGAACAGAAGGGGCGAGAGGACCGACCCTTGTGGCACCCCACAAGCAAGGTGCCTCGGGGTCGACCGCTGCCCCCCTGTCAACACAGATTGCGACCGGTCAGAGAGGTAGGAGGAGAACCACCGCAAAACGGTGCCTCCCACCCCCAACCCCGCCAACCGGTGCAACATGATACCATGGTCGATGGTATCAAAAGCTGCTGAGAGGTCTAACAGGACCAGGATAGAGGAGCAACCCCTATCCCGGGCCCTCCAGAGATCATCCACCAATGCGACCAATGCCGTTTCCGTGCTGTGCCCAGGCCGGAAGCCGGACTGGAGCGGGTCTAGATAGACAGCTTCATCCAGGTACCGGGGAAGCTGTTGCGCCACCACACTCTCAACAACCTTCGCAATGAAGCGAAGGTTGGAGACTGGACGATAGTTAGCCAAAACGGCTGGATCCAGAGAAGGCTTCTTGAGGAGGGGCCTCACCACCGCTTCTTTCAAAGCGGCCGGCAGGACCCCCTCACTCAAAGAAGCGTTAACAATCTTCTGGAGCCAGCCTCGTGTCACCTCCCGGGAAGCCAGTACCAACCAGGAGGGACACGGGTCCAATAAACATGTGGTCGCGTTCAGCCGTCCCAGGACCCTGTCCATGTCCTCGGGAGCCACAGGATCGAACTCCTCCCAGATAACACTCTCAAGACCTGCCTCAGTCATCCCGTCTGGACATACCCAGTCAGAGGCCAGCCCTTCCCGAATCTGAGCGATTTTGTCATACAGATACTGCACAAAATCCTCAGCTCGACCCTGCAAGGGGTCATCCCGCACTTCCAGATGGAGGAGGGAGCGGGTCACCCTAAACAGGGCGGCCGGGCGATTATCTGATGACGCGATAAGAGCGGCAAAATAGTTAGTTTTCGCCGCTTTTATCGCCACTAGGTAGGTCTTAATATGAGACCTCACCAGTGTTCGGTCAGGTTCGGAGCGGCTGGTCCTCCAACTACTCTCCAGGCGTCTTTTCCGGCGCTTCATCTCCCTAAGCTCCTCGGAAAACCAAGGAGCTAGGTGAGTTCGGTGCCGGGTCAGAGGCCGCAAAGGCACGACTCGGTCCAAGGCCCCGGCAGCCGCACTATCCCAGGCGGCCACCAGGTCTTCGGCCGAGTCATGAGCCAGAATCTCAGGAAATGGCCCAAGCTCCATCTGGAACCTATCAGGGTCCATCAGGCGCCTGGGGCGGAACCACCTGGTCGGTCCCGCCTCCCTGCGGCAGGGTGCAGCGGTTAGAAAGTCCAGTCGAAGGAGCGAGTGGTCAGACCATGACAAGGGTTCGATGGCTATATCCCCTATATCAAGGCCACTCAACCACTGACCAGAGACAAAAACTAAGTCCAGAGTGTGTCCTCCTGTGTGAGTGGGGTCATGAATTAACTGAGTAAGGTCCATGGCCGTCATGGAAGCCATGAACTCTCGAGCCACCTCAGACGTTTCACCGATAGATGGCAGGTTGAAATCCCCCATGATGACAAGTCTGGGGGTGCCCACCGCCACCTCGGCTATAACGTTAAGGAGCTCGGGCAGGGCCGTTGCCACGTGGCAGGGAGCCAGGTACGTGACCAACAGGCCCATCTGTACTCCACGACCCCACTTCACAAAGAGGGACTCACATCCGGCTATCTGTGGAACAGTGGTCTCCCTTGGATCCAGACCTTCCTTTATAATAACCGCCACCCCCCCGCCCCTGCCCTGAGCCCTCGGCTGATGAAATGCACGGAAGCCTGGTGGGCATATATCCACGAGGGGGACTCCCCCCTCCTGGCCCAACCAGGTCTCCGTAATGCCCGCCAGGTCCGCCTCCCCCTCCTGAATAAGATCGTGGATGAGGGGGGCTTTATTAACAACGGACCTGGCGTTGCACAACATCAGCCGGAGGCTCTGGCCCTGAGAATCTGAACAACCTGGGGAACAAGAAAAGCATTGGGGACCGGAATGCGCAATCGCTCTAAGATAGCGAGTGCGCATTCCCCGCACATGATATGGTCCCCAGCTTCCGCCATATCTGCCCCTCCCACTCACTGTGCTGATGGAACAGCCCTCTTCAAATCGAACTCCAACCCCCTCCCCGACCTCCGGTTCTATGTCCCTAATGTCGCAGCCCTTCGCTAAGGCTGGTCTTGAACCCGGTGGATTTCCCCCAGAACCCACCCTAATCCCCCCCGAACCCCTTAAAATTTTTGTTAAAAACTCACTAAAAAACCCACTTAAAAAACCCCTCAAACTCTTCTTAGCCGCATGCCATTACCCCCGCCAAGCCACGCCCACAGAACCAGTAGTAACAAATTTTAAATTTCACCACTACATAGAATGCCCCACCCCATAAGGAGACTTTCCTCTCTCCTTCTCTCCTCTCTCCTTGAATCTTGTCCATGTGAAACATAATACTTTTGAAGTTCAATTTTATGTGATTGAGAAGGTATATTATTGGATTTTTCTCATATGTTACTTTTCAATGAAAAACGGTGGCACAAGAGAAGAAGAGTTTAAATCTTTTCCCTACACCACTCGCTAATTAAACATTTATGGCTGGCTGCTGTTCTATGACAGAATAAACAATTAAAATTGTTTCCCAACTCTAGGACAACCAACAACTTTGGAAAGAAAAATTGTTCAGAATAAAAGGCTTAATGTATCTTCAATAGTTGGTAGATTTTCTTAAACATATTGCTTTCCATTATTTATTTCTTTTACATTTTGAGTGTCCGAATATTATTTAACATAGCAATCAAAACAGCATTATATATATATTTTTTCAAGTAAAAGCTAAAATGTTTAGCTTTCCTGTTTGAACCATTTATCAGTTTGCACTTAGTGAAGGACTAGATTTATTTAAAATAAAGTTTTAATTCTCTTTCTGGTATCACGATAAGAGAAGAAAAAATGGCAATGCAAGGTATCTTGGACCAGTGGTGGGTTTCAAAACTTTTTACTACCGGTTCTGTGGGCATGGCTTGGTGGGTATGGCATGGCTTGATGGGCGTGGCAGGGGAAGGATACTGTAAAATCTCCATTCCCTCCCCAATCCAGGAGAAAGTTACTGCAAAATCCCCATTTCCTCCACATCAGCTGGGACTTGGGAGGCAGAGAATAGATCGGGGCGGGGCCAGTCAGAATTTTTACTACCAGTTCTCCGAACTACTCAAAATTTCTGCTACCGGTTCTCCAGAACTGGTCAGAACCTGCTGAAACCCACCTCTGTCTTGGACTTTTTGTATTTGTGCATGTTACATTAAAATCTAGCTGAGTGTTAATCTGAAAAAGTACTTTGTTCTAGCTTGATTTTTAGTTGATCTTGTCCTCTCTATAAAATTTGAAATGTTTTCCATCAAACTTGCAATTCATAATAGTTCCTTCTATATATTCCTTCTGCAGAGTGAGCATTGTCTCTTTATTTTATATTACAAACATATATTGCCAAACATTTGAAGACAAAAGGATAGGACTGCTAGAACAAAACCAAGTGGATGTAAGCCACTGAACATTGTATTAGAGACTAGGAAATGCTGCAGACCCCATCCTGAGGACTCACATTGCAATTTCTTCTATTCAAAATGATCAGATGCAAGAAGTGGGGTGGGTGGGGGGTGGATGGTAGGGAAAATGGCCTTACCTCTCGGTTCCTGGATCTGCAGTTGATGGGTTGTGAGGGCTCTCGTGAATACTGGGCCTTGGTGAAGAGAGGCTCACAGCATGTGAGGGGGGTTCATTGCCCACAGCAATTCCACTTTGATTTGAATGAGTGCTGGAAAACATGGTAGCTGTAACCATGCAAAAGTATTCACAGTTAATATGAAAGGCATGTTTAGATTTGTCATTCAATTATAGACTATTTTGATTTTCAAAAGTAATCCCAGAAACATAGTGAGCTTCCTTTACATGCAGTTATATGTAAACAGAGCCTAGAGAACCATCTGCATGGGATGCATTTATCTGGACTCCTTTTTTTTTAAAAAAAAAAAATTACCATAATTTTAAAAAAGGAAAACAAAGATACTAAGTATGAAAAAAAAAAGCACATTATAACTAGATGAAATATGCATAATTATAAGAGTTGTGGTGGTGCAGTGATTAGAATGCAGTACTGCAGGCTACTTCTGCTGACTACTGGCTGCCGGCAGTTCGAGTCTCACCAGCTCAAGGTTGACTCAGCCTTCCATCCTTCCAAAGTCAGTAAAATGAGGACCCACATAGTTGGGTGCAATATGCTGACTCTGTAAACTGCTTAGAAAGGGCTGTAAAACACTGTGACAGCGGTATATGTTTAAGTGCTATTGCTATAATATATATAGCAATATATATATATACGGTAAATATATATCAATAGCTATATATATATACCGTACAGTGTACAGCTCAATTTTTGAACAGCGTTTAAACAATCATGTCATCTAGTACTTTCACTGTTCAATAAGAGCCAGTTTAAAAGCCACGAAAGTAACATTTCATCAAAGCAATATCTTTTTAAAAACATTTTTTGCTACATTCCATTCACAGATGCATTTCAAATTTTAGGGATTTAGTTTTACAATACATTACTGTATTTAAATCTTTAAGAGAAAACATCCCTGAAAAACATTTCTCCGTAACAATCCCTAGAGGTTACTCATCTTGCTCAACTGCTTAAGGAAAACTCAAAGTTCAGAAATTTTCCTTAGTTAATGGGCTTGGAGTTGAATGAGTTTCTCTTGACATACAACCATCTGATATGCTTGCCCTTATTGAAAGCTAACCCTAACCCCAAAAGATCAAAATATCCATTCATTAAGAACTTTAATTTCCTTCTGCATAGAGTCAATTTTCCATCTGAGTTTATCAGCTTTAAGGATATACAGTACTTATATTACCTATAACGAGTAGCTGAAATTATGATACTTGGCTCAATTCCACATCAAAATTTGGAGCTGGAAAAAGTTGAGCTGATATTTCAGTTGGAGCAAGATCATCAGAAATAATCAGCTTTTTAAAAACAATTAAATGTAAGGTTTTTTTCTCAAGCAGGAGTTGCAATATTTCCTCAATGGGCAATACAGCAGAATATAGGGGGATGTTACTTCTTGTGTTTCGAGCTATATCTCCTCCCCAAAAGTCCAAACTTAGTAGTAAAAAAAAATACAATTTATTATGCTTACCAATTATTCTTCTACAAGCATTTATAATTTTTAACCCATAAAAAGCAGTGGAAATTAATTGAACGTAACACCCTTCCATCTTGGCTAGAATTCCCACTTTTATTTGGATTCCAATCTTAAGTAAGACTTAGTGGCATAAATCCTATCCAGGACTCCATAATTCAAATTCATAATTCTAGCATCATGCATTCTCTAAAAATATTAAAGAAGCAAATATTGGAAGGATGTTATTAAAGTGTAGATCTCCATTTAATGGCAACCCCCATACAATTGCAGAACTAGAAAAAACTTAGTTTTATCTATAAATTAAAATATTTGTAAATGAGTTGTCACATCATAACAGAAATTAAGAGGCATAATTTGAAGAGTTGCTTAAATCATAAAATTATAAAGCCATTATGTTAAAGTTCTACAAATTTGGTTGAAGAAATGGACTGACGGAAGAGTTAGACGTTAAAATGGACGATGGAATTCATGTTTGGCAGAAGAAGACTTCACTCTAGGGTCTCTGTGGGTTAAAACTCATTATTTCAATTAGTTTTGAGGGAAAAGTTTATATACTCTAATAAAGGGATCAGTATCAAATGCACTCAGCTACTAATCTTAAAATATAGACACAAAATAGTCCTTTTGTTTCTCATTTTTGTCCTCCTAGACTTATGGCCTTCCTCCAGTTGACAGTTTCCATACATCTCATTCTGGTTCTTATATCCTCTCGGTCATCACAATGTCTGCCCCCCATTCCTTAGTCAGCCTAGGCTGGAAGTCAGGGGTGGGTTCTACTTACCTTTACTACCGGCTCGCAGCGGAGCTGCGTGCTCTTCTGCACAAGTGCAGAAGCTTCTGCGCATGCACAGAAGTGTTTTGATGATGTCGGGTTTCGGTGGGTGGAGCCTCCCGCCGATTTTACTACCTGTTCTATAGAACTGGTGCAAACCGGGGGCAACCCACCACTGCTGGGAGTGATGAAAATGTCTTTCCCTGGCTCCCAGTTCTCTTTAAAAGCTCCCTCAGTTTCTTTGAGTCCCCTTTTCAATAATTAAATAAAAATTGTTCAAGTGTGTCCTTCAGGGATGAGAGAGGCACTGTGATGTTAATTCTAGAGATAAGAAATTCCTGGAAACTGATATTACAAACCATTATGACTACATAAGATAAATTTTGATTTCCCCATACATCCATTGCTTATTAAATATTACTAAAAGAACAAGGCATTTTGACTGGTGGAAAATTTTAATCAGTGCTGTCACTTGAACAGCAAAACACTGTAATCAAACACTTCAGCAAGGAGTGGTTAAAAGAATAATGAAGAATAATAGTAATGGACATGCTAACAGCATTAATATGAAGGAAGGAAATTGTTCTTTATGCTTGTCCATAAAGACAGGGGAATTTTTTCTTTTGTTATTGGAATGCGACTGGTGCCAGTTGGGATGCCAAGACTGTTTTGATATGATTTTGAATGAAATAATTACTGCCACTATTTTGGTAAAGAGGTATGTTTTATATACTTATGGTGATCTAGCTAGTTTTACTATGTCATGGCGAAGGACCATAAATTGATGCACTGAAGTGCTGGAACAAGCAAAAAGTTCATTTAGAGTCCAACATTGTGTTTCCAATAACAGCCAGCTAAAAAGTATGAAGTCAACATTCCTTCTTTGTAATTTATCTCCTAGCAACAAGCATTATAGGCAAGCTGATGCTGAACTGGGGATGTGGGTTGCCCGATTTTGTCACCATTACTACTATTAATTAATAAGGAGATCTGGAACACATTTTTGCTTTGTGCATTCAGTTGCACCAGCCTCCAGAATAGTTTATTTCACTCTAGAATAGAATAGTCTATTATGTTTTGAATCTTTTTTACCTACCCACACCAGTTTATCAGCATTTCATGGCCCCTGTGCATACTTTGTACAATGTACAAACTGTACATTGCCAACCACTGGAAACGCTTATTGCAGCAGAGGCCTTGTCTCTGTTCATAAGATACATTGTTTCAATGACAAATTAAGGTGGAGATACAATGTATCCGGTGACCTCAAAAGCTGGAGAAAGGCAATAAACTGAAAATGTTGTGATTGCTCAAAGCGGTAGGATCGTAGACAGGAGATTGATCACAGAAAGCAAGCCAGATTAAAAGGCATGAGAAGAATGCCCAAACTTCCTACATCCAAAAATGACAGTGACATATGAACCACAGGAACTTACTTATAAGGAAGATAACTAGGAAGATATTTCCCTTTATTCCTTGGTCATAAAATCATGTATCACATCCACATTTCCTTCACAAACATAGCACAAAGGACTCAAAATCTTATAAAAATCTCGCTGATGTACCAGTGAATCACCAGCTGTCCCAAAAGTGAACTCCCGTTATTATTTTTGGAATAAAAAGAGAGACCTCTTTTCCAGCAGCTTGCCTTGTGTCTTGATTGTTCGTGGTCTTTTCCCGGCTCAGAAGCAAAAGGACCCAGGGAAATTCTCCCAACGGTTATAATGTTTAAATATTTAAGGAATAATACTTATGCTTCAACTTCAGAAAAAGAAAGAGAGATAGGCTGGTTTTCCATGAACCGTGTGAAAAAATATATTGTTTTACCCAGTGTTAATTTATTTCCAATTTCCTTTTAGATGTGACTAAGTTCCTTAGATGGGATTGAAAGAATGATATGGGCAGAAGAGATTTAATAAGCCTTTTCCCTCTTGGTGGATGAGAGGGGTATTCTGATTTACAAGGGGAAGAAATATACCCTGGGTGTGAATAGGATATTTGCTATAAGTGTAAATGCTACTTTTGCAGTACAAGGAAGAGGGGGTCTGTACCTGAAAGAGAAGAAAAGAGAAAGAGGAAAATGAATCCCGAATCTCTTCTTCCATTTTTCCTGCCTACTGCATGCATAAACACATGTGTGCGTACATGCACACAGAGCTATTGTATGAAACCAAGTAAATGTTTGGGAACTGAAGATACCATCTCTTTATCTCTAAATGTACATACACATGTCTACACATGGTGTGTAGGTGCGTATGCATATTTGTGAATGTGCGTTAGAGAAAGGGAGAAGAGAGATAAAGACAGAAAAAATAATTGCGATAAATATTTAGTAAAAATTATGCAGTCATTGTGTAATATCTCATCATTTGGATGCTTCTCAACTCATACATAATCTATTAGAAACAAAGCATGTCTGTATGAGGCTTCATATTTATGTATTCCAAAAGAAAAAGAAAAAAATACATAGAGGTGATGGATAATGTTATTGCACTTACAATTAAGAGATGAGAGATAGCATTCTTAAACTGTTGCCAAATTAATGCTTAAGAACACTTTTCCTCTAAGAACAGAAAGTACTCTGTAATTTAAATTTTTTTTTTCCAAATATAGAATTGCCATCTTTTCTCATCTTAATTACTGGTAATGTTGAAATTCATTGTCCTAAGTATGTTATTTGTACACTGTTTTTCAGATTAAAAAAAAACTCTTCCCACTTTAAATATACCTAGCTATATTTTATAAGCCAAATGTAAAAGTACTATAAAGGTTTCTCTTTCATGTCTGAGGAATTGTAAAACAAATGGAACTATCATTTGAACAGTACTATTCAAACTGACAGCCACTGCAG